TTTCCACTCAAAAAAAAAAAAAAAGTCATATACTCTACCCATTATATTCAACATAAGTGTTTCTAGATCGAGATTAGAAAAAGAAGAAGAAGAAGAAGAAGAAAACACGAACTTAGGTGATAGTTATGTAGACTTTTCATTACATATATAATATATTTTTTTATATAAAATATTTAAAGTACTTTCTGAAAGTATTAAATTTTAAATGAGAAACTCAAGGATTAGGGCATTCATGATTCATTCACTGTACCCCAATGAGAGTGTTTCTCGAAAGATAGAAAAAGGAAATAAAGAGAAACTTATAACTTTAAAGACATACATACTTAATCTCATTGTTGTCAAATTTTCAAACTAACTTTACAAGTTTATAATTTTTATATTTCTAGTTTATAAAATTGTATCAATCACTCATAAACTCAAATTAGATATAAACTCAATTAAGCTCATAAGATGACTTCTGAATTTACTGTTTTTACGTTTCTAGCTTACAAAAACATATCAACTTGTTCATAAATTTGAATTAGATTAAACTAATTAAGCTAATCTATTTTTAATTGAGTTGAGTGAGTTAATTATATACTATGTAAAATTCAGTTCTTAGAAGTACTTGGACCTAGTTCAAAAAAAAAATAAAACTTAAAAAGAAAAAAATAATATTAATGAAAAAGAAAAAAAAAATACCAAAATTAAGTTGCCTTATTTTGAAATTTTCATATTTTGTACAATAATATATCAATGTAGATGGATTTAGTTTCAATAATTTCTATTTGTAATATACTTCAAATAAAATTTTGATCATATTTTATATTTTAACTATTTAATTATATACTTTTAATGTTTTATTAAGATATGTAAACTCTTATGAATTTAAGATTCAGCTTTGCAATTTGAGTTTACATTCGTATTACGAGTTTATTTAAACTTGCAAGTTTGGTAACCTTATTAGTTTTATATATTTAATATGCTTGTTTTTAATTAAATTAAGACATATGAATCTTGTACAAATTATTTATTATTCTATGATAAAATCTTATTATTAATATTATTAATACATTATAAAATTAACTTGTTTTGATTTAATTAGAAAAAAATATAGTAAATGTATAAGACTAAGTAAATAAATGATCTCATCCTATAAGATTAAGCTGTGTATGGAAACTTACCAAATTAAATCATATAAAATAAGTAGATTAAGAAAGGACTAAGGTGTATTTTTATCTCTAAATTTTTTTTAAGAGTATTGAATACCCTATACTGATTAGTGAGCCATTTTTTCCTTTAACTACTTTTTTTGAGTAACAAAAAACCCCTTCCATTGGTTAGCTAATAACTTTGTTATTTTATGCTGATGTGGCATGTGTTTAAGGCCAATGCACAATGATAGGTAGGATTATGATCACAACTTTTGATGTTAATTTGCTTTAAAAAAATTTTCCCATGAGTATTGCATGCTCTGAAGTCTTTTTCAAGGATTACTAGGTATTCTAAAGTCATGACAAAATAAAATTTAATAAATATTATTAAAATATTAAATATTTTTATATTCAGTAATTTACATTTTAGTATTTATAAATATTTATCCAAAAATTGTAAATTATTTATAAATATTAAACTAGTTTTTCAAAAATTTATAAATGACTTGTAATTTTTAATATATCAATCATAGTTCTAATATTGATTAAGTTCTTTAAATTTTTAGGTCTTTTTTAGTAATTTTTTAGTTAACTAATGATCTATTTTTAAAATATTCCACCACCCAAATCTAATACATTGAAAAACTTATTTGGAAGATATTTCTTGTCCTATTAATATGCTTCCAAAAAAACTATTTAACAAGAGAATAATGGAGAGATGAGGGAAAAAAATTTCTCTTTAGAGGTTCATTCATTTTTTTCAATACAAAATTGCAACATATCAAAATATTACGGTATATAACAAACTACAAGTCATCTATAAATTTTAAAAAATTAACTTAAACTAATAATATTTAAAAAATAATTTATCAATTTTGGATGATACTTATGAAGAATAATAGTTAAATTATTAAATGTTAAAATATTTAATATTTTAACAATATATATTAAATTTTATTTTAATAAGACTTTATGGTGTTCATTGTTCTTAAAAAAAAATTCAGGGTGCCCAGCATTTTGTTTAAAAAAATATTTAGAGATAAATTATCATCAAAATATATAATCAGAGTCCTATTTGTCATTCTGCGCGAACCACAAGTACATGCTATGTAAGCAGAAAACCACAAAACTAATGGATGACCAACGAAAATGATTTAATTTTTTGCTCATTGGAAAAATAATTTTGAAAAAAAAAATATTTCACTTACGAATATAAGATACTCAATTCTTCTTAAAAAAAATTTGAGGATAGAAATGCACATTGATCCGATTAAGAAAAAAGTGGGGAAGATGTGGTCTGGCCGATTAAGAAAAGGATCAGAGGTCTCTTCCTTTCTTTTCCTCCTTTTCCCTCCACTTCCTCCATCTTCACCATTCAAATTTTTTTATTAAATAATTTTTTTAAATAAAAAAATTAATGAATGATGAAAATGGAAAAAGTGGAGAAAAATGGTGGAAAAGAAAGTAGAGATACCCATTTTTTCAAGAAAATGCAATGAAAGAAGAAAGTGGGAAAGATGTGGTCTGGCTGCTATCTTATTAGAATAATGCATGCGGTCCTATCCCCCCATGTTTATCGCCGAAATTTATGACATTACTTATCATTCTCCCAGTCATGTCAACCTAGAAGTTCCCATAAAATATTATTATTACTGTAGTTTTAACTATTTTTTTGGTGAAATAATTGTAAATATTTTTATTATTAATTCATTTATTTTTTATAAAAGACATTTGTCTAATTTTTCCACGATAAAATTGAATGCTAAATCTTTGTTAAATCTAGAGAAAATTCATATATATATATATATATATATATAGTTTTTTCCTATAAGAGTTGTTACTTGTTATTAACATTTCAATATGCAATTTGTCTTTTCAAAAAATTAAGAAATTATTACATTAAATCGGTGTATCACTTCACTCATACTTTATTCAATAAAAATATACTATATTATATCAATTTAAGTAAATAAAATTTTATTTCATTTTTTAATAACTTTATTTTTGGGACAGCGTCCCTCTTTCATTCATTGTCTTTTCCATGAATGAATTGAGCGTTAAAGATTTATCTTTTTCGGTTTTTTCTTATGGACAAGTGTCAATGTTATGCAAAATTAGAAACCGCCATCTTTGACAATCTTAAAGGCACCCTTTGCTCATAACAAATAACTTATTTAACACAAAAATAAAATTAAAAATTTATAGAAAGTTAAAGATTTACAAAATAATTTTTTTTAAAAAATAAAATTACCGTTAATACTTTTTGAAGTTAGAAAATATTGTTAAAACTGAGCAGTAATGGTGATAAAAAAAAAAGGGTGATTTCATATCTAAACTGATCAGTTGATTGAAAAACATATAATTTTTTTTTATAGCATAAGGAATAAATTCGGCCAATTGTAGATATTATTTTTCTTGAAGTATAAAAGGCAAATGGTAAACGCATCTGCCAACTAAATACCTACATATACAAAAGTTGAGATTTGAACCTTTAATTACTTGGTTAAATGACTAGAGTTCTTAATTATCACTTAAGCTAATTTTAATTGATAAAAAACATATAATTTCTAATATCGTAAAAATGTAATAAATTATTTTTATTAGAAAAATATTAAAATAAGAATTAGTAATAGACCCAAATCTAGAACATTATCATTGTATAAAGAAAAAAATTAATCATAGAGAGGGAAAACTCATCTTTTTTTTTGGGGGGGGGGGGGGGGAAGATAAGAAACACTCGTGTAAAATCGTTATTGAGATGACAATAATAATTCTAATAGTAGTCACAGCGGCCACCGTTTTGTTCATTTTATCAATCAGCCCGACTTCGTCATGTCCATCAGCAATTCTCTTCAACATTGCTATCTCTTAGCAATACATTCCCTACAAGGCACGTCTTTCATATTTGGATCTACTTCAATTTACTAACTCAAGTGTGTCTCATCATAATACAATAACAATTATTTAATTCAGAATATGTTTGTTTTAGCTTATTTTATAAAAAAATAAATAAAATCTATGTTGTGAGTTTTAATGTATTTGTTTAAAATTTTAAAAATAATCAAAATTAAAAAAATACACAAATATATTATAAATTTTAAAATAATTAAATCATAACTCATTTTTATAAAAAAAATAAATATTATAAAATTTTAAAATAATTAACTAATAATTACATTTTTATTATTGTAACCAAGCAAAAGATAATATCTGTTTTTTATAATTTTTTTACAAAATAAATCTCTTTTTATAAAATCTTTAAACTATTCAAAAATGAATTTTTTTATCTTAAAAAAAGGGCTATTACCTCTTTTTGTAAAATATCTGATTATCTAAAAATAAGTTACTTTTTAATTTTAAACAAACAAATCTTTAATTATACAGCTATAAAAAATTTTATCATATAATAGTTAAAAATTACTCAACATCAAATTTTTTAGAGTATATTATCCCAAAGAAGAAATTGAAAGAATGATGAATGTTCTAACTGTGATGATTTTTTTGAAATTTAAAAAAACTTGTATCATAATAACTTTTTAAATATAGATAAAATTTAATAATTATAATTAAGATACTTATTTAATAAAATAAAAATATAATCTTTGGTCCTCACAGTTTCATCCAATTTTATTTTTAAGGATTAAAAATACTAAAGAACTAAAATTATAGGAACCTAAAAAATAAATATAACATAATCTTTTTAAAATTATAAAAAATAAAAATACTGGTGGAAAAAAAAAAAAATCAAAGGGCTGAAAGCGAAACTAGGCACTGTGCTTTCCCTCGAATAAATGGGTTGAAGTCCTCGTCAATCCAACTATACTCTCTCTTACTTTTCCTCACCACGAACACAATAAATACCGTCCTTCTCTTCTCTCAAAACAGCAAGCAAAGCAATCTATCAAAAAAACATGGCTTCGCTTAATCATGCTTCTCTCTTGCTATTACCTCTCTTGCTCATTTCTTCCTTCTTCGACATCTACCAAGCTGCCGGAATCGCCATCTACTGGGGCCAAAACGGAGGCGAAGGCTCCCTCGCCGACGCTTGCAACACTGGAAACTACAAATTCGTTAACATAGCTTTCTTATCCACCTTCGGCAATGGAAAAACCCCACAACTTAACCTCGCCGGCCACTGCAATCCAGCCGCCGGCACCTGCAAAGGCATAAGCGCCGGCATCAAAACTTGCCAATCCAAAGGCATCAAAGTGCTTCTCTCCATCGGCGGTGGCTCCGGTGGCTACTCTCTTAATTCCGCCGCCGAGGCCAACCAGCTTGCTAACTACATCTGGAACAACTTCCTCGGAGGAAGCTCCGATTCACGGCCATTAGGCGACGCCGTTTTGGACGGCGTCGACTTCGACATCGAGGCCGGTAACGGCCAGCACTGGGATGAACTTGCAAGAGCTCTGAAGAAGTTCAACCAGAAGATGATACTCTCCGCCGCGCCACAATGTCCATTCCCAGACTCTCACTTGAGCTCTGCGGTCAACACTGGCTTGTTCAACTACGTTTGGGTTCAGTTTTATAACAATCCTCCATGCCAATATGCAAATGGGAACATTAACAATCTTGTGAATGCATGGAAACGATGGACCACCGTGCAAGCTAGCCAAGTGTTCTTGGGGGTTCCGGCATCGCAGGCTGCAGCCGGCAGTGGGTTTATTCCGGTTAATGTTATGAACTCTCAAGTTCTTCCGGCGATCAAGGGGTCTCCGAAATACGGCGGAGTCATGATTTGGGACAGGTTCAACGATCTCAAAAGTCGATATAGCAAGGCCATTCTCGGTTCTATCTAAAGAATTCGTTAGGTCTAAGCTTATGAATAAGAAGCAGATCAGTAGGGTTACAGTTGCTCCTACTATTGTAAGCCACATGCATGAGTGATGATATGAACCGATATGAACAACTTCTTCTGCATGCAATAGGCAATAATATGAAATAAAATATGCATCCTTAAGTATGGTTCTAGAGTTCAATTCCTAAAAGTGTGTACAGAGAGTATTGTTTTGGAGAGACTAACCTCTTAAATGTTACTCAAATTTTTCAAGGATTGATTAGTTTCATAGCTATTGACGCTAGGGATACTGGGAGAAACTAATATATATATATACTACTACAAAATATATTTATAGTAGCGCTTTTTTTAAGTTTTTGAAAGCGTTTCCATATCGAATGCTCCAAAATATATAGGAGTGGTTTCCAAAGTGTTCCTGTATGTAAGCGTTACAGGAGCACTTTTTGAAAAGCGCTCTCATATATAAGAAAAAAATATGACTTTTTGGAGAACATACAAGAGCACTCTTTAATTGGGCGCCCCCGTGTACAAACATATAGGAGCACTCTATAAAAGAGTAAATTACACCCTAAACTTTAGGTCTAATTATATCATAGACTCTGAATTCATTTGTTGTGTAAATTATTCTCTCAACTTTTGATAATGATGTAATGTTGCTATTGCCATTACAAAAGTTAAATTTAACCATTGATCAACCAAAAAATGATAAAAAGGAACCTCAAAAGTTATAATGCAAGATCCAAAAAAGTACATGACCTTTTTTATATTTTTTGGGTCATTTATTATAATTGTTGGTCATTTTTGTAATTTTCTAGATCCTTTATTATAATTTTTTGTCTTTTTTCTATGATTTTTGAGATCTTTTTCTATCTTTTTTAATTAATTAATGATCAAATTTAACAATTGTTAATGGTAAGGGCCAAATTTCACATTTTTCAACAGTTGAGGAAAATTTGCATAATAAACAAGTTTAAGGTTTATGGTCCTACTAGACATAAAAGTTTAAGAAGTAATTTATTCATTTACCCATATATATATATATATATACACATATATAAACATAATTTCATCTTCAACTTTCATATAATTATTTTGACATGCATCATAATAGTTAGTGCATTATCAATTAAATCAGGAAGGGTTAATGAGTATTTTGGACCTTGAAGTATTGCATAAAAAGTGCTCTGGGCTTGAACTCTTAAAATGTGCAAAATAGACCATAAACTTTTAAATTCATAGAAAATTAAACCCTACCATTAACTCACTATTAACATCATTACAGTTCATCAAGTGGGGCCTAGTTAAAATGTTGATGTGGCAATCTCTTGCTAATGTGTCATCTCTAATGAGCACCACAGAGTCTAAACTATTGTGTGAGTAGCATCCTAGACTGAAAAATTTAAAATTCAGAGCAAATTACCACCATTGTTTATGTGTAAAACATTGATTATTATATAGATCAAATTATCCTCAGTATGATCTGTCATGGTGAATGCATCTTTGGTGCCGCGGTGAATGACTCATAATTTTGTGAAATAACATTTTTGCCCTTTTTTTGCAATGTTTTTAAACAATTGGTATCTTATGCTTCCATATACTTTATAACTCTAATTTAGTCTTATTTTGAATAATGTTTATTTATTTAATAGTGAAAACTTGAGATCCCATTTGAAAAGAAGTTTAAGTATAAGAGGATTGTATAGATAATGGATGCAAAAGTTGACAATTTCATCAATGAATTTTAAACCCAAATTAACTGATTAATTAATATCTCAAACTTATTTTTAAATGGGATCCCAAGTTTTTGCCATTAAATAAATAAACATTATTTAAAATAAGACCAAATTAGAGTTATATATTATATGAAAGTATGAAATACCAATCATCACTAGTACAAGATTTTGGTAAAAAAGCGAACGTTGTAAAAAGTAGAGGTGGTGATACTTTTATAATATTTGCAGAGGCTGTTGTACTTTCAACATCGGGTAAAATTACAACTGATGTTGAAAACAATTTCAACAACAGGTGTAAACTAACCTGCCGTTGAAAATGTCACTTACAACATCAGGTGACTATTCACTTGATGTTGTAAGTGCTTCAAATTAAAGAAAAAAATAAAAATAAAACACTTACAACATTGAGTAATAGGTCACCCGATGTTGTAAGTGTTTTAAATTAAAAACACAAATAAAAAAAAGGACTTACAACATCAGGTGACAAGTCACTCGATGTTGTAAGCTTTTCAATTAAAAAAATAAAAAAAGACTTACAACATTAGATGATAGGTCATTTGATATTGTAAGTCCTTAAAAATAAAAAAAAATAAAATACTTACAACATTAGGTGACAGGTCACCCGATGTTGCAAATGAGTAAAATGAAAAAAAAAAAAATTAAATAGTTATAGCATCAGGTGTTGTAAATCAAATTACAACATTGGGTGACTATGTTGTAAGTTTTTTTAAAAAAACAATTTTCTTTCTTTTTAGCATGTGTCACTTTCATTCTCTCCTTCATCATCTCAATCTTCTCCTTCCTCTTTATCTCCCTACAAACCACTCCTCCTCCCCAACACTTTTCCGTCGGCCTCCCCCCAACTCCTCCCCCTTTTGTTGTCATATCCCCTCCTCTTTCTCTGCTCTTCCTCCTCCCTTTCATCGTCATCCCCTTACTCCTCTTCCCCTTCCATCATCATCCCCCTACTCCTCTACCCCTTTTTTTCTGTCGACCTCCCCTCCCTACTCTTCTTCCCCCTTCCATTGTCATCCCCCTTCCTCCTCCCCTTTCATTGTCGATCGTCCCCCTACTCCTTCTCCCTCCCTTCCCTTGGCCATGCCCCTTCCACCTCCCACTTAGCGTCCCTACCCTTCCCTCAGCCTCCTTCCTTCTCCCCCACCTCCTGCCCCCTTCCTCTCAGACTCCCTCCTCTTCCTCCCCTTGGCCTCGAGTCCAAAAACAAGTAAGTTTATGATGTTTTCCCTTTTTTTAATTTTTAATTTATATATATTAATTATTATTTAATTTATCATTTTAGTTTAATTTATTTTTAATTTTATTAAATATTTTAGTTAATTATTATTAATTAGTTTTTATGTATACTTGCTTGTTAAGAGTGCTGTTAGTAGTTGCTTAATGCCCTAGATTGTTGCATGTGTGATCAAATTATTGTTTGGATTGTTTAGGTATAAAATTTTTATTTTTTCCTTGTTAAATTTTTTGGAAGTCTAATTTTTAGGGGAAAGTATGCTAAAATTTTGTGAATTTCATTTTTTCCCCTAAATTGCTTCAAATTTAGTTGTTATTGATATTGATTGATGCTCTGAATGCTATTAGTGGCTTCGTGAGGTCTTAGGTTGTTGCATGTAATTATTTATTTGGTATAAGATCTTCAATTTTCTCTTGTAAATTTTTTTAAAAGTTTTGAAAGGTCCAATTTTTAAGGAAGACTTTGCCAAAATTTTTTTAAAATTTATTATTTTTCCTAAATTACTCAAAATCTTAGGTTAATTAGGAATTTACATTTTTAAAATTGTTTAAAGATGATAACATTCACATTAGTTCTATTTCTATTTAGATTGTGATATATGGATCGTAGTTGGATGAATCTTAGATAAATGAGTAATAAGTATGATAATGGTGTAAAGAAGTTTTTGAAATTTGTTAAGAAAAATGTTGTTGAAAATAGTGGGAGGTTTTATTATCCTTATGTAAATTGCTTAAATGAGAGGAGACTAGGTGTTACTGAAATTAGAGAACACGTGATTTGCGATAGGATTTGTAAGAATTCTACAGTATCGATTTAGCATGTTGAATGATTGAAAAATTATAGTAGTAAATCTTAATATGTGCAAGTTGATTATAATATTGATGATGAAATAGATATAGATGAAGATCAGTTAGAGGGCATGATCCATAATGTTAGGGAAGAGGCCTTTGAATGAAAACATATGTATGATAACTTGTGCATTGATGCAGAGAGGCCTTTATATTTAGGGTGTACTAATTTTAGTCTATTGTTTAGGATGTTAAAATTGGTTACTTTGAAGGTAAGAGCTAAGTGGAATGACTAGAGTTTTATATGGTTGCTAGAGTTACTCCAAATAATTACTATATGATGACTCCCTATTTTGTGTTATAATTGATATGTTTTTGGTTATATTTTAGGAGTCATCAATGGAAAAGAGAAACATTTTCTTGCTTTTATAAACAAAAATTAATAAGTTCCTTATTTGGATTTATTGTAATATTTTTAAGAAAATTGTTTAAAATGATGAAAATTGAAATAAAAAAAGATTCTACTTATATTTATTAATTATGGATAGGTGGGGAATGACAACATCAAAGTAAGAAAGAGAAAGGAGATAAGAAAAAGGTGCTTTTCAGTCCAAAACATAAAAGCAAAAGTTCCTCACTGTCAAAATTTTTAGAATTGTTCATTGGTGCCATGGCACTACTGAAAGAGTGCCATGGCACCAGACGAAAATGTAGAAACATACGGTTTCATTTTTTATGAGAAATTAACTTGCATAAGTCATTTTTTTAGATTTAAGGAGGCGCTTTTCAACTTTTGCAACTGGAGAAAACCTTAAGAGAGCAAGAGGAGAAGTCTTGAAACTTAGGATCAAGAAGAAGTGAAGCAAGTCTTCATTCTACCTCATTTTTTTTAGTGTTTTCTCTTATTCTTTTCCTTTATGCTAATATATTTGAATTTTTCCTGTGCTGTTCCAGTTTTCATTTTAGCTATGTGTAGCTAAATCTTCTTGTTCTAGAGGACTATGAACCTATTTGTGTAAATAACCTTGGATTTACCATTCACTTGTTGAGAAATGAAGTTTTGATTATGTGTTCTTGAGTATTTTGTTCTTGTTTAATGATTGGCCACCATTAGGTGAGATTTGAGCATTTAGGTTAAACTTTAGAAGAGGAGACTCAAATTGAACCTTGAGAACTAGTAGCCTAGGATTAGTTTAACTAATTTGCCATTAGAATAGGAATGTATCTAATGGAAATAGGTAATCCTCATAGGTTAGGGTCTCTAATGCAATAAATTAATTAAGGTAATAATTTTTTTTAATTAAACTAATTAGGATCCTTAGTGATCGAAAGATAATTTGGATTCATTTAGATTCTCAAATTATCAAAACTGAATTTCAAGATAATTAATATGGTAATAAGAGGGTTA